TTGATAGCTGCTTTCAACTACCTGAAAGGGGGTTCCAAAGAGGATGGCTCTAGACTGTTCTCAATGGTAGCAGATGACAGAACGAGGAGTAATGGTCTCAAGCTGCAGTGGGGGAGGTTTAGATTGGATATTAGGAAAAACTTTTTCACTAAGAGGGTGGTGAAACACTGGAATGCGTTACCTAGGGAGGTGGTAGAATCTCCTTCCTTAGAGGTTTTTAAGGTCAGGCTTGACAAAGCCCTGGCTGGGATGATTTAACTGGGAATTGGTCCTGCTTCGAGCAGGGGGTTGGACTAGATGACCTTCTGGGGTCCCTTCCAACCCTTATATTCTATGATTCTATGATTCTATAGAACCAGGTTTGATGTAACTGGGTTCTGACAGACATCTGACCTAGTTAAAGCAAACTAAAGTTTTCAATTAGTTAAAGTTAATAGTTCTTCCCATGACAAACCCTTTGCCTACCCATCACTATATCGCTCAAGTGTATTTGTATCAATGCATTCTGTCTAAACAGCTAGCGGCAGCCTAAAACATTGTGGGCATTTTTCAAAGAATTGCCTTGCCCTCAACAGCTCAAAGGTTTCTGTGATATTTTTATGCTATTGCTCACTGAGCATTGCACTTATGAATAGCTGTTCAGGCAGCTGCATCCATTAAAAAAAGCTTAGAATGAAACCAAAAAGATGGGAACATAAGTGTTTTGGAGGCAATGTTGGATGAAACTGAATGGAAGCAAGTAGAAGTAAAGGGCACAAAGGGGAAACCATATATTCAAAGACAATTTAATGTTTGCCAAGGGGTCATGAGGCAATCTAAATATAGAGTTACAGAAAAGAAGCCAATGTAGATGAGCACAAAACACACACAAAAAAGGAGAGGCAAAAAGAGGTACAGAAAGAAATTTATAACACATCAGATACAGAGGAGCACTGGAAAGATTACAGAATCATACTGAGAGCAGGAGTACTTGTGGCACCTTAGAGACATACCATACTTTTCCACAGTATGCATCCGAAGAAGTGAGCTGTAGCTCACGAAAGCTTATGCTCAAATAAATTGGTTAGTCTCTAAGGTGCCACAGGTACTCCTTTTCTTTTTGCGAATACAGACTAACACAGCTGTTACTCTGAAACCTCTCATACTGAGAGCAAAACATCATAAGAAAACCTAAAGTTAATAATAAGAGTTAAGAATTTAAGAGTAATTTCTATATTAAGAGCTGCATATATAGGTTATATGGAACAGACTACCAAAAGCAGCATTAGGAATAACTAATTTAGATACCTTTTAAAAATTATCAGGCAAATAACTAGAGGGAAAAGATATTCTAGATTACAACTCGTAACTCAAAAGATGGGGTGGATCTGTCATACAGACTGAAAGAGGCCAGGAAACCAGTTCTATATTTAGTTTCCCAGTAATTCTAAATAGCATCTAGCAAGATATATTGGTAAATTATATATGAGCTTTAACCCGCTCTCACCTCCACAAGGAAACTTTTCCTACATCTTGATTTAAAAAAAAAAATACTGCTGACATCTATTTCATAAAACACATTAATTATTAGATAGCACCTTTGTTATACCTGGAAATGTACAGACATAGTTCCTGCCCTGGAAGCCTTGCTATCTAGAATTTAGGATGGCCCTTTAGCTTCTGAGAAATTATTTTTAATTTATTAAAAAAGCAAAGCACTCAGGGGCTTTTTTTGAAGTGTTCTAAAAACAATCACCTAATGTACTAATGATACAGTGCTTTGCTTTGCAAACAAGCTGCTTTGTTAATAGGACTAGTCTTCCAAGACAGATAGAAAGGTGATTTTAATATGCTGCCACGTCCCACAAACATAATAGAAGCAAGGATTTACTTCCCTATTTCTACCAAACAATTCATTCTGATTGATACCTCACCTATTCCGGTCTGAAAGATTGGACATTCTAAGAGATTTTCCTTCATATATTGTATTGATATAGTTTCTAGATGTTATAGGTATTGAACTTAAAAAAACAACAACAAAAAAACCACATATCAAAGACCTTAGTTTACAAAACTGGTATCTACCACCACATACAACCGGTCCATCCCAGAACATTACACTTTTCTGAGGGGGTTTTCTAACAAACAAAAATAAAGGCTTGTTTATACAGGGAAATTGACTGGCGTAGCTATAATGGAATAAGATATTCTGGTATAGCTATGCAAGAAAAATTCCCCATGAGGGCATTATTCCCAAATTAAGTTACTTATTTCAGAGTAACTGCACAAGGAGTTATTGTAATATAGCTATTGCTTATTCCACTACAGCTATCCCAGTCCATTTCGCCATGTAGACATCCCATAATGCTTTGTATTTTCAAAGCACTGAATATTAGCCAATTAAATCTCTCAACACTCCTATGGAAGCAGTTAGGGATTTTCAGTTCACAAAAGGGGAAACAGGAGTAGAGACTGGGCCTGCTTCACAGTACATCATGACACAAATATACTTTATTGAAATAAGATGATTTGTGATTCCTATTGTCTAGATCAGTGGATATTACGCATGTCTCGGAAAGGATAAAACTGATTTTTGGTGGCAGGGTGCACCCTCTATCATTTGAGCCATAAACTGGTATTCACAGTGGTGTGAGCAGAAAGCATTCCTCCCACCCTACAAGGAAAGGTATAGCGATGCTTGTTAGCAGAGAAGAAAGGCTGGAATGTGGAAAAAAATATAACAGACCACATACTGTAGGTGTCTGGCAACCCTGTTGCTCCCACGCACCGCACGTCTATTCAAAATGCTGCTGCTGAGGTCATCTTCCTGACCTGCCATTCTGACCACATTAACCCCCTCTCTTTGCATCCCTCCACTGGCTCTCCCTCCTCCACCAAATCAATCACAAGTTTTTGTATTTGCATTAAAGGACCTTGACTCTTTATCCACATCCTCTATATCAGATATATTAAGTTACTGAACACTATCTTCACTCTGCTAATGATGGCAGCCTTGATTGCCTGCTTATGGGCTTCTTTCTCCAGTACCTCTGAATTTTCTCCCATCCGTTTCACATGCATGCGGAAAACTTCCCATCAATTACTGTAAACCTCCACCTTATCCTCTACAAAAACTACCTCTCTGCCCTGATGCTGACAAATTATTCTGGTCTGACATTGGCTAGGAAAGTGCCAAGTGATGATTGCAGTTTTTCCACTAAACATCCTTCTAGCCCACCCTTCAGCCAGTGTGTGTGTTATATCCCATCTGTCACATCAATTGTGAGCACTCTCAGGCAGAAACTGTTGTCTTTGTTACACATCTGTTTCGTGTCTACCACAAAAGGCTCCCACTCCATAACTGAGGTTCCTAGGAAATAATGTAGTACAAATAATATATCTTCCTAAATAGCGCTCCACCTTCCCCTCCTATAATATGGTAATATCAGAGCACCTATGATGAACAGTATGCTTTGGCACACACTTTAGCAGCATGGTGATATGGAAGAAAAGTGCTAAATCAACAAAAATAAGTTTTAAAAAATAGTCATTTGTTCCAACTAAAATAGCCCTCCTTCATGTTTAGATATGAAGAAACAACATCTACATTTATTTAATAAAAATAGAATGGTGAAATCAGTAAATATCAATTGTGATTAACAATGCAATTCACCTGTTTATATTTCAATAACTAGAAAATGGCCATTAAAAGCCCAATTTTCACCACTTTTTTTTTTTTTTTTTTAACTTCACCAACTCCTTGAAGTTTCTCACGAATGCTTCGCTGCCAAAAATTTGACACTGGACTTTTTGTTTTTTTTTTAAATATAGGGAAGTCTGGCAAGAAGTTTGTGAGAAACTTGGAGGGTGGGGTGAGGAGGGGAAAATCAGACAGATTGTAATTATTTGAAACATATCTCAAAAAAATAGGTGAAATAAACCCACCAAATTTAGCTTAGTTTACTTGTTTTTTCTGAACAAGGAGTGGTTCCTTTGCATATTTTTTGGAAATCCTGGATTTGGGACTCTGGTTCTATGGACCAATTCATGCCAAATTTTACTAACCTATAATTGCTATGGAGGAGAGTATTAAGAACGTCTGCAACTGAACCATGACACAAGAAATGGTACCACCTTGTACAGCTTGTCTACACTACCTGCCAAATCGGCGGGCAGCAATCGATCCAGTGGGCGTCAATTTATTGCGTCTAGTATAGACGTGATAAATCGACCGCTGAGCTCTCTCCCATCGACTCCGGTACTCCACCAGAATAAGAAGAGCAAGTGGAGTCAATGGGAGAACGTCAGCTGTCAACTTACTGCAGTGAAGACACCGTGGTAAATAGATCTAAGTACGTCAACTTCAGCTACGCTATTCACATAGCTGAATTTCCGTATCTTGGACTGACCCCAAGCGGTAGTGTAGACAAGCCCATATATAAGATTTACATTGGTATTTATATCATGCATATCCATTCTTTTTTGTCTCCTCTCTCTTGCAATGTTTTTGTAAGACTCCTCTTCTGCCTTTTCCAACTTGAAACAATTTCCTACCTAAAGTGTTTTTCCCCACTGAAACTTTCATTCACATCTTTTTCCTTATCAAGTTACTCCTCAGAAGATAACAGCAGCCTTTAGTCATACAACAAGATCCTCTGCCCTCACTTAATACTGCTGTTGACCTTAAGAATTAGAAAACCTACATGGGAATTTGGCAAGCATTGTGAAACACTGCAAATTCAGCCTAACTCATACCCACAACAATCCTTGACCCAAACTCAGGAAAGAACCTTACACAGGAATGCCAACCATCTTTAACACTAACAGTGAGACACACTCATTATACTGTACCATATTAATGAATGCATCCCCCACACAACCCCTGATTACTCTACAATTTGTGTTTTTTTTTCAAATCTACCTTTGCCAACAATTAATGTTAGGTGAAAAGAGAAAAGAAAAATAAATGACAAAATATCTGAAAGGTAAATACAATATATTAAAAAAAGTTAGGAACCTACGTTTTGGCAGTGACATCCACAAACTGCCCTGGACGAAAGTGAGCTGCATACAGAGGCGTACCTTAAAAAGGAGGGAAAATATATCATTCAATTAAGTGCTGAAACTGCCAGCATCCACAGTTGTTAAAAATAATTTTTACGAGAAAATATTCATTTAAATCCTGATTCTTTAAAAAATTGATTTTTTAAACAGAATGTATGTATAATTAATTAGAAAATTAATTTATAATTAATTTTTATAATTATAAAAATTATAATTATAATTATTGTAATTTATATTATAATTTATAATATTATATATATAATATATAATATATATTATATATAATATAATTATATTATAATTTATAATAATTATATAAATTATTAAAATTTATAATTAATTACAAAATCAAGTAATTTAAATCACTCTACTCTATCAATGTCAGATTTGTCAGTGAATACAGACAGTGATGAGGTGACCCTCTACTAAATCACCAAGCAGAAAAATATCGACATCTAGTATAAATAAATAATGAAGTGTATATAACTGTACGAGCCCAAAGAAAGAGAGACAGACAGACAGCCAAGGGCAAACAATTGAGAGGAGAGAGGAAAGATGGAAGATGCTGCAGTAATGTTTGTAGTACATATTTAGGACTTTAAATGCACCGAACTTTCAGCCTTTGCTTCAATTATCAGACCACACTTTCTCCATATGCCTTACTGGATAGTATTAATGAGTAGCTGCAATAAAGTCTAAGATCTGTTTGCAGACTCTCTCCACTGGCTACAAAAGAAGTCATAATATTTTAAATAGACCATTAGGACCCTGTTTTAATAAAACTAATTATTAATAAATTAATAAAATGCCTGGAGCAAAATTATGTTGGCAAAAGCATGTAATATAAACAACCCAAATTCACATACTAAATATATCCTGAAAAATTTTAAAAACAATTTTTATGAAGGTTAAGTGTCCAAATCTTCTGGTTAAAAGACAAAATTCTCAATGGAAATCAATGCTCCATTTTGCTTAATCCTTTCTGCCTCAAATAGTCTGAAACAATGGGATTTCAAGAGGTACCTAATTCTTCTCAACCAGGAAAGCACAGAGAAGACTGAAACCTCTTAAACAACAACTTTTCCAACCTCCTGCAAAACATCACTTATGGTGTCCTTATAAGAGTGCCAAAGTCCTTTGGGAAGTGTATTCACATTCATTTCTAATACTGATTTGCATTTTAGCCAGTTTGCATTAAACAACTTTTCCAAGAGATGGAACTGATTTGCTACAAAAAGGAGAAATGGCGGAAGACGACGACAATTCCTTTCTCCACCCACAGAAAGTAAAGGCCATTTTCTATTTTCCTCCTTTTCAAAAATTTGATTTGGCCCCAGTGATAGGGAAAAAATGTTTTAAATTCACTTTCATACCTAAAAAAAAAAAAAAATCAATCACACCTTAATGTCCTCTGTTTACGTAAATCTAAACCAAGAGTAAATCATACATGTAATGTATTCCAGCTCAAAAAGATTACCTGGCTTAATTATAGCATTATCTGACACCTTAAATATTGTAGTTTTCTGCTTTGGTGGTACTCCTGCTTCTCTGAAAACCTCCAGTGCAGACTCTGGTTTCTGGAAGAAAGAGCACGCATAAAACAAGTGAACTTAAATTATAAATTCATTATAAATTCAGTGACCACCAGAAAACTGTTTACAACTGTCAACACTATTTAAAAAACAAATGCCACATTGTATTTTTACTTTCAAGAAAGACTTAACTTTATATTAAATTACTGTAGCATAATTTCTTCATGAACTTCCTGAACTTCAATCAAGGCCATTGTTGGATCTCATCTGATCCATCGATCTCATCAGATGATCACTGCACACTTAGACTGTGTCACTAACACCAAGGGATCTGTAAAAACTTCCAAAGCTAGGAGGGAGAAGCCAACCGCCACTTTTTTTCATGTACACAAATATTTTTATTTAGAATACATTTTCACTAACCGTAGAGTAATTTAAAGTGTAATCTTTATTTCAGATGTCATTATAAATGCACATTTGTACTAATGATACTGCTTTACAGTGCCACAATGTGTATGTAGTTTTATAGACTGTAAACCCTTCAGGGCAGGAACATAATCTAAGGCCCTGATCTTGCAGAGACTTCTTGAAATACTTAACTTTAGAGAAGTCAATAGTTCCACTGAAGGAAATGGGGCTTCACACAGAACAAGGATCCACTGCATAGTCAGAGTCTGAACAGCAGAAGACCCCAAGAACAAAGTTTTTATGTATTTATTTTTATTTAAAATATACCTAATTCATTTCAATGACAAATCATCTTTGGTTACAAATGAGAGCTTTTTATTTTATCAGACACATCAGCAGCTGCCTTTTAGAAACATTACAGCACTGACAGAGTACCAGCCAAATGGAAACCAAGTATATGAAAACTGAAGTTGTATACAGTGGCTCAGCTGAGATTTTTCTTCAAATGAAACCTCCTAGAAAGCAATTTAAACAACTGACAGCAGTGTCACACTTGGATAATCCCGTCAGTGAGGGGGTCACTTTTAAAAAGTTCTCTGAAATTATCCTTTTCCCAATAAAAACACTTCTCTGAACTTTCAGACAAATTTATCCGGACACCTCTTAAGGCTGTTTAGCTTCATTTGAAAAATCAGCATATTGTCCATGATTTTATTAATAACTATATGTAAATACATTTTATAAGAACAGCAAAAACCATATTATGCTTGGTTAGAAACCAATTGATAAAATTCCTTTGATTTCTAATTGATTGGAGGCCAAAACACCTTTATGAAAATGTCGCTCCTCCACTCAAGTAAGAATGCTGATATAGGGTTCAGCAGTTCACTATTTTTTTTAAATGATTTGCTGACTTGCATTCATATAGTAAAACATTTTAAACAAAAGATTTTTAAAATAATCATGATTATTCTATTTATATGTTTTCCAAAGCTGGTTGTATTATTGGTCTGATGACTGATCACATGTATACTGTACTATAGTGCATGCAGAAGTGAAAAATAAAATAGGTATCTCCTTTATCAGATGTATTTAAGTAAGTCTTGATTTAGATTGCAAAGTAAAATTACATTTGTTTAATTGACCAGAAACTGAATGCTTAACAGTATATTCAAAATGGGCTTGTGAGGAGGGCTAGAATGACTGTACACACACATACTGAAGTCAACAAGGGATAAGAAAGCTTTTTTCCATTTTTCATCAAAACATCTGACTATAGCTTTCTATTGCCTGACTTCAGCAAATGAAACAAAATTTCATCAAGTGCTCTAATGGACAAAGACAAAGGTAGGTATTTTTATGTACACAAAACATCACTTAGCCTCCTTGCAAAGATGGGAAAAAACAGATTTTTAAATGGCAACATTACAGAGGATATTGAATATGTTCTCAAGTGAATATCATTTTAAAAGGTCTATTGAAAACATACTGAGCAGTATAGTATGGACTGTTGCAAATCAGACTACATCTGCAAAATGATTAATAGACCTCAAAACCAGAGTTTGCTTATTTTTTAAAAGACATTGATAAAAACAGTCACAGTACCATGCATTTTGGGAAGGAGACCAATTAACTGTGCATTAAAAAAAATAATTTAGAAAGTTTATCCACTTGAAACACAGTGGCATCTGCCAAGCTAAAAAAACCAACACATTCCTAAAAAATGTATTTAAAAAAAAATTAAAATAATTTGACATTTACAAGAAATACATAAAACCTTCATTGTTAGTGAAATTACTAAGGGATTCATCAGACGATTTACTAAAGTGAGTCACTGTCAAAATCTGGGGAGGACAGATGTTACTATGGGGAACTAATGAAACAAATTAATTATGCTGTCACACAGAACTAGTTTTCCACAGTTTAGCTTTTCAAACTCACATTTGGAAGAAAATAATGAAGTGATAAATATAAAAAGAGGATGAAGCTTCAAGTTTCAATGTAAACCAGAAAAAGGTACCATTATTATATTTGCAGAGTTCATAACAAGTGTAAACTGTACAGAAATAAAATAACCTGTGTCAAATTCTTTTAAGCTATCTAACATTATGGGACAAATTTACTCCAGATTCAACCTCAGAAGTTACCAGTCAAGGTCCAGATCTACATAATTTTTTTTTTAATGGATATAGTTGAATAAGTTTAACATAATTAATAGAATTATCTGGAAAAAAGCAACAATTTCCTATTAAGGAACAGATAATTTAATAAACAATAGTCAATCTGATATTTTAGATCATTGTGCATCAAAGAAAGCTATACAGATCACAATAAGAGCAGTTTAAATTGGACATGCGATTGCATGAATCCTACATTTTCCTATATTATCCTATATTTTCCACGGACTGAATGCACTTTGTTACTCAGCCAAGCAAGAGGACAATGTTGAGCGTCAGGACTATCACGCATGCATTTCTTCACAGTTGTGCTTCCCTGGTGCACCACCAGCAGTTTCAAAATGACTAGATACATATGATTTTTGTCAGTGTTGAGCTAACACAGCCAGGAGCACCGGTGTAATTTCACCAAGTGAAAAAAATGTTCCTTTAGTAGAGGATATGCACCAGAGAGACAAGGCATGTGGAAACCAAAGTAAACATTGGTAAGATGTGCACCAGCAAGCAAATAAAACTAAGATCACACAGAATATAAACCCTTTTCCCATGAAAACTTCACCGACTTTCAGTTGGGGTTTTGGGTAGATTCCCTACTAGAAAAACTGAGGTACAAGCCCTCAAGAAAAAAACAAACAAACAGATCTCCAAATAAGCCACGTAAAGCCTTTTTGTATCTGTTTAGGTCAAACAGAGATGACCGCAAGAACAATGCAAAGAGAAGCGTGACAGTTTTATAAACATAATGAATCTCAAAAAATGTGCTCTTTTGAGGGAAGGCTAGGTTACCATTATGATTCAATCTTTCCCCCTGGGATTGACAAAACTGCTAAATTGCTTCAGCCATTGAAGACTGGCTTGGACTTCTGCATCAGACATCTAGAGCTGTTAAACAAATCAGTGGTTTGTGACACCATCATCAATAAGCTATGTTCACAACTGTGCATATTTTAAGTTTGAAGTTTAATTCTTCTTTCAGGAATATTATACGCAAATGAGCAAATAAAACAATGGTAAAATTAAAGCAGAAATGAATAAATCAGAATACATCAGCCAACTACATTATGAGAATATCCAAAGGATTATCAGAATCGAAAGAGGCCCACCGTAACTCCTCTACTCCAGTGGTTATTAACTTTGTGGGCCAAGATTCCAAATTAGGTCCAATGCAAGTTTGTAGACCTAAGTACCTGCTCCCCCTTCCACTGCTACTACATGTTCCCATTTCCTGCAGTTCCCTCCATTACCAATACCATGCTTCAAAGAAGCTTTCAAAAATACAGCCTTCTACCATTTCCAAGAAGGAAAAAATGCTAATGTAGTTGTCCTCACTTCCCAGATTTTTCTAACAGATTTTGGAAAAGGTTGGGGTGAAGAGAAGGAAGGGAGAATGGTGCACTCCTCCTCCCCATGTCACCCCCACCCAAACCACCCCATGGCACACGAGTGCGTGAAGGTGAGAGACAAAGATGAGCCTCTGAAACATGTATGGTTGCAGACTCATCTTTTACTAAACACCTTTTAATATATCACTGTTTTGTCTGAAAGCATTTATAATTAGTGATCCTTATTGAAATAACAATTCTAACCAAAAAAAGGAAGTAGTACACTTACATAAAAAGGAGATGAATGTTTCCCTCCAACGATTAGAGTGGCTGTTTTTCCATTATACTCTTCCTTCGGTGTGTACTTTAAAACATGGCAGTCTTTCACCTTAACAAATAAATCACAGTAAACAGGGTCTTAAAACAGACATCTGCTCATATTCTAATTTAAATTAACAATAGATATTAAACAATGTGAGCAAAGTCACAGTGTCGACTCGATTTCATTTGTCTAATAGATGACACAAAGTTCAAAGAGAAAATTTTAACCATTTATAATGAAGCATCTTTCTTTCAAGTAACTGTTCACCAGAAAGCCTACTAGAACAGACATGTGTAACAGAGAGTATTCTTATATAAATCCTAAAAGTAAAATCAGGTTTTTAGAACGATGAAGTTAGGTTATATTATCACAACTTTAGCTTTAATGAATGATTTTATATCCTAAAAGTAATGTTAAAATGATCTAATACACAGGTTAAAGAAAGAGTTTCTGTACATCTGGGTATAATAATGTTTAAATTATCCAAAAGTACAAAGCTTGGTTTAAAAGTAATAAAATACATTTATTCGTGATCTGCTGCTGGAGCATGCAAAGGGACTGAAAAGCTGGCTTCAACAACCAGTTGGGGGATTCCAGGAGTGGCATAAAGCTGACAAAACTGGCTCTACACCAGTGGTTCTGAACCAGGGGCCCGGGATCAGGTTTCAGGGGATCCGTCAAGCAGGGCTGGCATTAGACTTAATGGTGCCCAGGGCAGAAAGCCAAAGCCCCACCCCATGGGGCTGAAACTGGGGGACCTGAGCCCTGCCACCTGAGGCAGGAGACGAAGCCTGAGCAACTCAGCTTTGTGGGGCCCTGTAGCGTGGGGCCATGGACAACTGCCCTGCTTATTATCCCCTAATGCCGGTCTTGACGTTTACATGCAGAAAAACAGTTGTTGTGGCATGGGTGGGCCATGGAGTTTTTATAGCATATGGGGGGGGGGGTCCTCAGAAATAAGAAGGTTGAGAGCCCCTGCTCTACACCACTTGTCCCTACTTTAGCCTTGTTGGGGTTGTTACTGCTCGTGTAAGTTAGAGCAGCCCTGAGATTACTTCAACTTGACTAAGGACTAACCCAATTCCCAGTTGCCTCTAGGACTGGGAAAACAGAAAGGGGATAAAATGCCACCTATGCTGTCCCCCTCCTCAAGTGCACCACACACGATCCAGGGCACCTGACAGCCCCTGCCCTGAAGAGTTTACAATCTAAAACACAGAAAAAAGGATGCACTGTGCAACCCTTAAGAAATGGGTAACTTTGGTGGGTTTTCCCCCTTAAAAGCCCTTCCCCCCCACTATAGAGTTTAATTTCTTGCTTAGTCTAGAATTTTTTATTAAAAATCTAAACACAATATTTAAGCTTAAATTCAAAGTATCTCTCTTACCTGAAGTAATGTGACAGCATGTCTTTCACCATTCTTGGTCCACAATGGAATCATTCCCAACTTTATTGCAACAAGGCCAACTCTGCGGGAACCTTTAGATCAAAACAAACCATGCCCATAACTTTAGACTAAATATCTGACAGAATTGGAGTCTGTTGATCGTTGGGGTATGCTACCAGATCTTTTTTCCTCTATGGGAGAGATTAAGGGAGGAGAGAATAAGTTCTTAACTTTGTGGGCAGGTTGGGAATAGCAGGGTTTCTTTAATATACTACTTATGTTTGTGCAGAGCAATACATGGGCTCAATATTAATTACAATATATAAATTTCTTCTTGAGAAGTCACTTCTGAAAAATACTAACATGACTTCCATTTTTGGCAAACCAGATGAATATCTAAAACAAAAATTAAGTGTTACGTGAGAAACATTATTTCACTAGGTTCCCCCCACAATATTTAAGTTTTTATTTTATTCTCAGCCACTGTATAACAAATCTATCCCATTAAAGGTTCAGATGCTTAGGTCTTTAGCTTGGAACACAGAATCCACAAGAGGAATATTTAAGAAATAAATATTTCAAATGTGTGGGGGGAAAAAAGCATTTCCAAATGTGTTATACAATATTTACATATTGCATCAGTCACTTAGTGGCCATTCTAAGTATATGAAGTCATCATCTGCAATGCCAGAGGCTATATTTTTCCAGAGGCATCTCTAAAGTCTTGGTCAGCGTCACTGCTGCAACAATAAGCTAATTAACTAAACCATCAAAAAAAAAATCTAGAAAATAAAATGCGTTCGTTTAAGACTGGACGTCAGAGGGTTCCTGTGGACACTGTGGGACTTTAAACACACAAGCTATGCTACCTAGTATGCTCTCTTCTGTGCAGTGACTGGGAGTCAATCTGTAGTCCCTTATGGATCAGGAATGCTACTGAGCCAAAGTCCCTGATTTTGGAATGAAGTCGTTCACATCAGTCAACAACAGCTAATTACGTGGTACCCTTTGATGTGTTCATGACAGTCATATTCCAAGGGTATGGAAGCAAGACAGGTTTTGAGGGGGCGATGGCTGGAAAGGGACGATAAATGTGTTGAAATTGAAGGAGAAGATCCTCAGAAATAAGAGAGGAACTTGAAGACTGCTTTGGTCCTTGTAGAGGTAAAGAAACTGACTAAGGTAACAAAGAAGAAACTTTATATGACACCAGTCCGATATCATTTGTATACTGTAACAACCCAATGACAACTACAGCCAGAGCTGCATCTATTCATATACTAACCTGGTTCCCATGAGTGCAGTGGCCAGGGTTCATCTTTCAGTGGACACAGTTTGCTGGCTGTTTGAGCTCTGTATTCTTCTGCTGTTACCTGCTTAAGGAACTGGGTGTTCTCTTCAGAAAGATGTTCATCCCACCAGGTGGTGCTATTAATATGCCTGACTATAGAGCACCAGGGTCCCCTACCAAGTTAAAAAAAAAAGGGGGCGGGGGGGGAAGTTGTTGTTGCTTATTAATATAGATAATGCCTTTTACTACTGCATCTCATCACAAAAATTACAAAAGAATTAAAAATCATTAATAAATCATGCTCAAGTGATGGCACTCAAACTGTCCCACCCTGATCATCATCCTTCAGATTAACTTACATTTAATTTACTAAACACAAATAAAAGTCAAAAATAGAATCAATAGGAGCAATCAACCACATGCTAAAACAAATAAATGGGTCTTTTATCCTACACACTAGAGCTCACCAATCTCAGGAACTAGTGGATAACCAAAGAAGCAAATTTCAAAATGGAAAATTTCGAGCTGAGAAAGCCACTGCTAGATTTCATTATCAGCCTCAAGAGAGGTTTTTAAACCCAGGAACTCTCAACCAGCACATCAGCCCCTCTCAACTGCCTTGACAGAGAATAAAGCAAGGGACTGCTTCTCAGGTAACCAGGGACCACACCATTTGGGGCTCTGAAGGACATCAACTCTACCTTACTTGCACCCAGAACCAAACAGGAGCTCAGAACAAAGACTGAGTCACAATTACTATGTGCTCACAGAAGATACCACAGACTCAGGAAGCAGGCAACTGTGCTTTGTACCAGATTAAAGACTTCAAGGTGGCCTTCATAGAGAGGATATTACACTGCTTCATCCCACTTCTTTATATTCTTCCCCATGTCAAGCATTGCTTCCATTTTAACAAGATTAAGTCACAGCCTGTTTGCTTTAGGGATATTCAGGTTCCTATAAAGGCCAAGCACTGGGAAAAATAATGAAATTGTAGAATCTGATTTTCATGGAAGAGTGATGTCAGGATGACATACAATGGTGGAGGAGACCATGTAGATAGATAATCATGGGCATACAGATAGCAATGAAAGCAACAACCTCTCATACTCCTCAAGTTGCATTTACCCTGATTCACTGCCAAAAGAAACCAATCACTGATACGCCAGTCTTGGTTCCATATCCTACTTTAAAGCCAAACTGATGAATTCCTTAGGCCTCCTGTGAAATTCGAGGGTTGCTCCATCAGTACTTCCTCATATTACAAACAAAATAGGGATATTCTTAAAAACCAGTGATGTCCTTGAGTGGATGGTAACTGAGAAGATTGTTACCTGTGTGTTACTATAGTATGAAAATCAGGGTAATTACCTCATACTGCCTCAGCATGGAAGGATGCACACAAAGGGTACATCTACACTGCAATAAAACACCCACAGCAGGCCAGAGTCAGCTGACTCAGGCTATAAAATTACAGTGTAGAGATTTGGGGTTGGGGAAAGAGACAGGGCTCTGGGACTCTGCAAGGGGACAGGGTCCCAGAGCCCAGGTTCCAGCCTGAACCCAAACCAGGTTGGATAAAAATCAATGATTTTTATTTTTAAAAGATTTTTTTGATAAAATGCTTTCTGAGGAAAAAAACTATTTAAAGATAATTGTAATTAAGACACATTATAGCTCAAAGATATCTCATCATGGAATAGGGATTATACATTCTAATTCTATAGTTTGAGAATATATTCATGTAATGTTTAAGAATGTAAATGAGTTCCAATAGTTCATGGATTAGGGACCCAATCTTATGGGGTTCCGGGGGCTTCTGTATAAACTTAGGTTAATCTTTCTATCTACCCAACAGTACTCAGCGCTTAGTCTAGAAGATACCTTCAGAGATGCTTAGTTTTGCAGTTCTCAAACTGTGGCTCCAGAGATAACATGCTTGTTAACAGCAAAAATGTTTTAAAATAAATAAATAAAAATATATAGAGGTGAGAAATAACAGACCTCAACCCTGTTGTCCCTCTCTCTAATACTTACCCCTCTCTAAAAGTGCAAAGTTTCAACAAGTTCAATGAATAGAAGATTGTTGGGAGCGGAATAGATCTGGACAAGGAGAAGTAGTCTGGAGATAAATGTGAGCAGGGAGGGACGGGCAGTAGAAACAAAAGTAAAACTGTTTGGGCAGCATATTCCAGACGTCTTGAGGTCTTTCTAGATGTAGCGTTCATTGATTGGAGATCTACCATACCGTTCTCTCAGTAGAAGGGAAAACCTATAATGGCAGCAGGCCGTAAAAGAGACCCAATTTGGGAATATTTGAATGAAGTTCCTCTACCTGTGGGTAAGACAGGCAAACGTGGAAAATGCCAACAGTGCAACAAAGAAATGCAATGCCTGGCTGCCCGAATGAAACATCATGAGAAGTGATCCTTCTCAGGAGGAAGCTGCAAATGATGAAAGAAACATGTCTGAACATGCAAGATCTTCAGGTTGGTAAACTTTTTTATTTCATACTTCTTTCTTAAGGGCTGTCTGTCTTCCTTCTGGACTATTTTTGAATTCTCATGTTTGAGCAAAAAAATAGTTGTTACTCTATGGTACTATCATTTTAGATGAAGTTGTGATAAAAAATAAATAGCTGAAATAGGCAGATCATCCTTTTACAATTTCACCTTTAAAGTAGTACTGAGTGTCAGTGAATGCAATGAGTAATACTAAATGAGCAGTATGGTAATAATAATTAAATAACTGCACTGACTTATTTTGTTTAGGAGAATCCATCCTCAACATACAGGATTCTGAAGACTCTCCGCCTTCAAGATCACCATTATTTTCTATAGTTTCAGAGTTATCTGCCAATGACAGTGTTTCAGTCACATCATGTATGTCACATAGCCACAGTATATCACCTGTAGCAAAAAGAAAAAAAAAGAGTCTCCATCATGCAGAAACAACCATAGATAAGTTTGTGATAAGAACCAGATTACAAAAAGAGGTAACTGATGAAAAAAATGACCTGTCTGTTTATGCAACAAACTCTTCTTTCCGTATGATTGAGAACCCACACTTCATTAACATGGTTCAGTCAGGATACAGTCCACGCAACAGAGCAGATGTCGCAGGCAAATTGCTGGATAAAGTGTATGAAAGAGAAATTGAGCAGTGTGCAAAAGGTCTAGAGGATGAAATTGTTAACCTGAGTCTTGATGGGTGGAGCAATGTCCACAATGATCCTGCTCTATGGGCTTGTGTGACAACAGAAGAAGGGAATATCTTCCTTACAGAAACAATTGATATATCCGGAAATGCACACACAGCAGAATACTTACAAGAAGTAGCAGTAAAAGCTATAACAAACTGTGGGGGAAAAAATTCAAATGTCTAGTACGCAGCTTGGTCACAGACAATTCTGCAAATGTATCCAAGATAAGAAAAAATTATTCAGAAGAGAGTCCCAAGCTAACATACGTTTGCAGTGCTCATTTGATGCACCTCCTAGCCAAAGACTTCATTGTTCCAGAAATAAAGGCTAATGTTGTTGAAATTGCAAAATACTTCTGTAGCAACCACTTTGCAGCAGCAGCTCTGAAAAAAAGTGGGAGGAACCACACTAATTCTCCCACAAGACATGTGATGGAACTCAGTAGTGGACTGTTTTGAGTACTACATCAAGAATTGGCCTAATATGATGACAGTTTGTGAACAAAATCGTGAAAAAATAGATGCCACAGTCACAGCCAAAGTTCTCAACATTGGGCTTAAGAGAAATGGTGAACACATGCTGAGTACCCTGAAGCCTATTTCTGTAGCCTTGAACAAAATGCAGGGAAATAGCTGTTTTATTGCTGATGTTGTTGAAAATATGGAAGGAACTAAGTGAGATCTTAAAGAGAAATATGCATGACAGAGTTAAATTACAAGCATTAAAAAAAACAAATGGGGGAAGCACTATCTCCAGCTCATTTTCTTAGAAATATTCTCAATACTCGGTAGCAGGGTCAAACCTTAACTGCTGAAGAAGAGGAGTTGGCTATGACATGGACATCCAGCAATCATCCCTCCATAATGCCAACTATAATAAACTTCAGAGCTAAGGGTGAACCATTCAAGAAATCTATGTTTGCTGATGATGTTTTAAAGAAAGTCACACCAGTGAACTGGTGGAAGTCACTTAAGCACTTGGATTCAGAGACTGTTGAAGTGATCATCTCACTTTTAACAGCCATAGCTTCTTCTGCCAGTGTAGAAAGAATATTTTCTTCCTTTGGACTAATTCATTCCAAGTTGAGAAACCATTTGGGTCCTGAAAAAGCAGGAAAGCCTTGTTTTTCATTTCCAGATTATGAACAAACTGGAAAACGAAGGTGAAGACGACTGAGTTAGCTGCAGAAGCCAATATTTTAAGTTTCTCATGTTGACTTGGCTGACATAGTTGATTTAATTTTGGGTTTTTTTTTTTAAATGTTTCATTTAACTATTTTAATTAAAAACAATTTTAACAAAAACAAACCAGATTTTAAAAAAAATTGAATGTTTAACTAAATTCAAAAATTCATATGCTTGTTTGGTTAAAATATTATGTTTGCTGTTGAAGAAAAAAATCCAGAATATATAATGTTGTTGTTTTAATTAAATAAAACAATTTAAATGTCTGTCTGGTGATGTTCTCCTAATACAGCATGGCAAGAAAATCTTCCAAATATTAATGATTAACATGTTGAATTGAAGATACTTCACCTCCCAGTGACTTCATAAATATCTGCTTCAATTAGCTTTGGTAAATGAAATAACCAAACAATCATTCATTTTCTGATATAGCTGTAAAACTAACCTGAAAAGTTTTCAAAATAAATCACTTTAAAAATGTAAAGTGTGTACCTTCTAAAAATGAAACCTACATCTACCTCAGAGTTGTGAAAAATCTGTATTAAGGTTATACCAACCAACAAGAACACACTTTTATGTAGAAATCCATGATTAAATTGAGTCTTCCCGACTAGTGATTTAAATCAAATCCACCCTGATCCAAACACCTACTGTGCAATTTTATACCTCTGCAGCTTGAGTCCAAGTCAGCTGACAAGGGCCAAGCACAAGGATTTTACTGCAGTGTAGACATACCCAGAGTGGCCCCAGTAGCAGGGAGGGAACACATTCTGGAGGGCCTAAGAAAGGACTGTGCAAACCCATTCCCACAGACGTGGTAAGAGGATACCGTCCATGCTACGAAACAGCATCATGTCCAACCAGTTACAGCCAAGCAAGGAAAGCATGTGCCAGAACAGTGACTTGTTCTGACCGAGTATTAACCCTGGGGTGTGTGGACACACATCATTCCTCGCTATTGGTACTGCGCTAGCTTGTAGGAACCCCAGCCACCCCACTGTTACTGAGGCAGGCAAGGGAGAGGTACAAACATGTAACAAGCCAGTCCTTAGCAGACATGCCAAAGCTGCGAGAAAAAAAACCCCACAGAAATTGGGCTTGTTTTTGGGTTAACTAGCTTGTGAGTTGCTTGTTAGCTAGTTTTTGGCTTGTAGCTCGTTTGGCTTGTACCTTGTTGTTTTTGATCAGCTCCAGGCAAGCAGGGGCAAGGAGGCGGCAAGCGGGTGAAGAGCGTTGGGGTGAACAGCAGTCCCACCACAGTCCCAGACTGCATGCGGGGGGTTGGGAGATCTAGTCACACACAGTGTTGGGGGGTCTTAAGGATTGGCTGGTTTTGAAATGGGATTAGGTTGATTTTTGGCTTATTGTGAAGGTCGGGGTGCTTATTTACTGCGTGAAAGTTGGCAACTGTGGTGGCTAGTCACAACCTCGGGGGAAGGCTGCAGCAGAGGAAGGGCCTTAAAGAAGGAGCGACCGGCACCCACAGACGATGAGGCCAAGCCCCGGCGCACCCCCGCAGCCTCTGGGGAACGCGGCGGGCCGGCACCCCTCGGGCACAGGCCGCAGCGCGGGCACCAGAGCCCAGGTCACCCGAGCCCCCGCCCCGCTCAGGCTGGGGGCGGCGGGGGCGGGGCTCTGCGCGCGCCAGTCCACGTGCGCACGGAACCAGGCAACAAATCACCCGCCCCGGAGTGAGCGCGGGCCGCACCCCCCCCAACCCTCCCGGGCCGTGGGGCTCTGCTGCGTCCCCTCCCCATAGCTCCGCACCCACCTGTTCCCGGTAGCGGCCGCCGCTCCCGCTCCCTGCACTGGGCCGCCCGGAACTCCCGCCAGCAGGCGCCCCCCCGCCCGGCACAGTAGCTGCCCCCAGCCCGGCATAACTCCCGCTCCCGGCACAGGCTGGTCTGGCCCGTGCGCCAAAACCTTCCGCCCGCCCCGACGCCCGCGAACAAAGTTCCGGACACTGGCTGCGAACGCCCCGCAGGGGAAGAATTCCGAGGGCACCGCGCCAGGGCGGGGCCTTGTCAAACACCAATCTCCGCCCCCAAGGCAGGGGAGACCGAAGCTCTCCTTATTCCATTCACGCGCAGGCCGCTGCGTAGATGGCTGTGGGGGGGGATTCTGAGAGAGCCATAGAGTAAAAGGGAGTGGAGGGAGCGGCCACAGGTCCCTGCAGCTGGAAAGAGGGGGAGAACTTCCCCCTGGTGGTGGGAGTTGGTTACTGCAGGTCAACAAAGTGCTGAGGGAAAGGAGTACTTGTGGCACCTTAGAGACTAACCAATTTATTTGAGCATAAGCTTTCGTGAGCTACAGCTCACTTCATTGGATGCATACTGTGGAAACTGCAGAAGACATTGTATACACAGAGACCATGAAACAATACCTCCTCCCACCCCACTCTCCTGCTGGTAATAGCTTATCTAAAGTGATCACTCTCCTTACAATGTGTATGATAATCAAGTTGGGCCATTTCCAGCACAAATCCAGGTTTTCTCACCCTCCGCCGCCCCCCCCCCCCCCACACACACACAAACTCACTCTCCTGCTGGTAATAGCCCATCCAAAGTGACCACTCTCTTTACAATGTGTATGATAATCAAGGTGGGCCATTTCCAGCACAAACCCAGGTTTTCTCACCCCCCTCCCTTTTTCCAAAAACCACACACACAAAAAGAAAAGGAGTACTCCTTTTCTTTTTGCGAATACAGACTAACACAGCTGTTACTCTGAAACCACACACACAAACTCAGTCTCCTGCTGGTAATAGCTTATCCAACATGACCACTCTCCTTACAATGTGTATGAAAATCAAGGTGGGCCATTTCCATCACCCCATACACACACAAACTCACTCTCCTGTTGGCAGGAGAGTGAGTTGGTGTGTGTATAGGGGTGGGGGGTGAGAAAACCTGGATTTGTGCTGGAAATGGCCCAACCTTGATTATCATACACATTGTAAATAGAGTGGTCACTTTGGATGGACTATTACCAGCAGGAGAGTGAGTTTGGGGTGGGGAGGGGGGGCAGAGGGTGAGAAAACCTGGATTTGTGCTGGAAATGGCCCGATTTGATTATCATACACATTGTAAGGAGAGTGATCACTTTAGATAAGCTATTACCAGCAGGAGAGTGGGGTGGGAGGAGGTATTGTTTCATGGTCTCTGTGTATACAATGTCTTCTGCAGTTTCCACAGTATGCATCCAATGAAGTGAGCTGTAGCTCACGAAAGCTTATGCTCAAATAAATTGGTTAGTCTCTAAGGTGCCACAAGTACTCCTTTTCTTTTTGCGAATACAGACTAACACGGCTGTTACTCTGAAAAGTGCTGAGGGGCACCACAGTGCAGCCGGTTGGCCAGGCCACGTGGGTTCCCTGGACATTGCTGGGCAGGGCCCCAAGCTCTTTGCTTAGCATCTTGGTGTCACTTCTCCTCAGACCACGCAGACAGTGTGTCCATGCCTGCCCAAAGTGTAGCTCGCCTTGCCGGGGTTGGGCTTTGTCTTTGCATGAGTCTAGGCACCTCCCCAGGGCAGTAAATGCCATGGTGTGAGGTTCACCCCAGCACCAGCTGCCCCATCCCCGCTTTCCAGCTAGGATGGGCTGCAGGTGCAGAACTCCACGCAGTTACGATAGGTCTTTCTTCACTATTGCTGTCCTTGTGATAAAGGCGGGTTCCAAGAGCTGTTTCACATCTCAGTCAACTTCCATCAGGACGGTCCCAATAGTGGAATGGGAAGTCATCCTCATGAGTCCAGGACTGGTTTGAAAGGAGGGCAAACCAATCTGGATTCCAACTGGAACAGTTTAACACACAGGGCGTGGATCAGGCTGGTTTACTGTTAAGAGCTCTTGCCACATGGCAGAGGAGAGAGTCTTACATAGATCTCAGATGCTTGAACACACACTCAAATTGAAGCCTCATGCTACAGTGTTTCCAAAATACTAGATCCTATGTAGAATAATAATTTAGAAAAACAGATCATAATTATACTAAGCTCACAATAGCGCTGGTCATCTGTAGATCTGAAAGCACTTTACAAAGGTGAAGTGGGATGTGGCTGAAGTGGAAAACACACACTCATCAGTTATGTGGAGTGTTTGGGAACCTCATTGTTCGAATGGTCACTAGGCTACACACAGGAGAGGAATTCAACCTGCAGAACGACTAAAACTAGTCACTTGTCATGGGGTCCACTCACCACAGTGGCTCCTCCTGCTGGCCATCCTGGGGATTAGCTCTGCCAGTTGGTGTGCCCTCTTCAGGTGGTGCCTCTTCCATTATCTTCTCAGCCTGCAGACCCACCTCACTCTAGGAACCGTAGCATCCTCTTCATGACTTGGCCCTCTGGCCGGGTCACCAGCCATGTTTCCCCCTTCCAGGGGTACCCCAAAGTTTTTCTTGGCAAACAGTCCCAGGCAGTCTTCTCCTATGCTGCCCTGATGATGCCACTTCCCCAGTGGCCAGTAGGGGAACCTGGGCCCACTCTCTATTCTGGGTTCCAGTCCAGGGACCCTCAGCTCAGCAGTTCTGGGCTCTTACCTCCACTGCTCCTTCCCTGGACTCTTCCTGCTCCCCCGCTCCTTCTGTGGGAGTGCCAACTCCTTCTTCCCATGGAGTGACTGCTGCTTGCCTTCCTGTAGCCTTTCCCAGCAGCCTTATCTGTTCTCAGCTCCTGGGCTTTTTGGCCCCACCTATTTCTGCCCCACTGAGCCTCCTTAATCAACTCCCTGCTCCCTGGCTACTCCTCCACGTGCAGCCTGGGCAGTTAATTGGCCTACCTGGCAACCTTAACCCCTTCTAATCCTGCGTGGGGTGAACACCCAATCACATGCCTCCTCACATGAGTTACTTGGGAAGCACTCTGCTCCAGTGGATTTGGCGTGCATTTTTCAGTCTTGGTTTTAATCGTGGTTCTGATTCTGATTTATTGTGTAATTACCTTTGCCAGTCACATAGCCAGCACTTTCAAAAGTCTGTGTGGCCAAAAGTGGCAAGTGGGGTAGCTAAATAGGGTTTTTCTTGGCCCTTGAAAGGCCTTGGTCAAGTAGGCTGCCGGAAAGGACGTGTGGGAATCAGCTCTACCAGCCCTATATTTTTCAGGGACCCATTGTCCCATGCTGGGTGATCTTCAGCTGGGGGCGAGGGGGGGAGGCGGGTTCAGTCTGTGTTACTGTGCAAGAATCTGAAAGTAAAACTGACTAGAAATACGTGACCTGACTAGTCTAGTTTTTCACTCCAAGCTGAACAAAATTTAGATAACAAATAAACAGCAGCACAGAAGGTGATAAACACAATGGGTTTGTTCATAATCAAAAGGATTATTAGTAAGGTAGTGGTGAGAACTTGTTGTGTTTTTTTAATATATGAATTTTCCCTGAAGAGTATGAACTATACTGTTGTAGGCTAAGGCCAAATTCTGCCCTGGGTTGCGGTATGTAGGAAGCCACCTCCCTCCACAATACACCCAAAAATACACAATACACAACCTGTATCTTAGGTGGGCAAGATTCCCACCTAAGATACAGGTTGTCCCCTCCCACAGGTTACGGTAGGAAAACGTTGTGAAGTTCTCCTTGATCAGTTTACTCCAAATTCTTGGTTGGGGGAGGAGGGATATTCCCCATGGGATTGTTGGAGAGGATGATGTGCATCCCCCCAGTCCCATCCTCTTCTCCATGGATCCAGAACCATAGAGAGACCCCTCCTGCACAGAGGAGATTCCAGTTCTGAGGCTAGAAGATAGATGGTGCCATGAAGATGGCTGTATCCGCACTTTCTATGCAGATGGGGACAGTTCACCCACAAAGGGCCTCTGCCACACATGGTATGGGTCAAACAACTGGGTTCTAATATTAAAGGAGTACAACAAGGGAGCCCTGCTACCATGCCCTGTGGCACATCATTGCCCCGAGGATGCGTTAATGACTGAAGGCAAGCCCCACAGTGGGCAAGTGTTCATGGTGTGTTCAGCAGTACAAAACAATCAAAGATGTATGCTGCTTCTTTTCAGAGAATGGTGCACCTAATAGCATATCCTCCTTAACCCCCACCCCATCCCTGGTCTAACCTGAACCATCCTAGTGTGAAATAAGAGATGTCGCTTGAACCAGGTACATGAATAGTGCTGCTCCACTCTGCCCTTCCGCCCCTTTTTGCATCTCTGGCCTGTAAAGGGATAAGATTTCATCTTAATTCTGTGTTATCATATTTAGTAAAACGATGTATCTCAGCCTTCTTAAGGGCCAGTCAAGGTCCTCTTTCTTTATATCTTTGAGTTCTTCTATTCTAAACATTGGCTTCATCCTTCAGGAAAAGTACTTTAATATATGACAGTCAGATGGGAAAGATTGAAATTATGTCTCACTTTTTTTTTCAGGTGACATATTACTGGGCTAGTCAGAATCTCCGTGTATCCCACCAAAAGCTCTGGAAGCAGTTAATTAATCTGGAGATGTTTCAGGCCTGAAGATAAACGGCTCAATTTACCCCCAGTATTAGTAGGTGCTGCTGTTCCCAGAGATATCCAACCTCCCCCTCGCCCCTGGGTGGGCAGGCAGTGCCTGAAGTGTCACCTTCGGCCCCCCTCCCTCCTCCTTCCAGCAGGGGAGAGCAGCTGAACTTGCAGCTGTGGTTCCAGAGAATTGTCACTGCCGGCGGCTGCTTAGGGGTATACTGATGCTCAAAGACTTGATTGCTTAAATGTTCACCGACAGCAAACTCCAAAGGGGCGAGAGTTTGGCAGAAGCGAATTCATTATTAAAGGCAAGCTAAAATCTTTGCAGTGATTGTTTCACAGTATTTTTCTCAGCTTTTATGAGGCTAATAAAGAAGAATAAAAGTGTTTTTTTTTTATTGTTTTCAAATACAAAATGGGAGAAAAGACCAGTAGAATATAAATCACGGTGTAGTTACAACAGGCAATTATACAGAAAGACACCTATGTAGCATACTGAGATAAAGATAATACCACAGGCATAACAAATAAACACAGCCAATTCTGCTGATTTAGCAGTAGAAAAGTATTGAAAACAA